ACTTTTGTTCATACCTTGCTTGTGAACGTATTTTGTCTTCAGACTTCGTTTGTCGACGGTTGCAGGGGATATTTCCTTTGACGAGAATTTCAGACCAAGATGCGTTTAAACTTAATAATTCAGTCAGCGTTCCATCCATAATTTCCATAGATTTCTCCGATTTCCCTAGGTGTTTCATGTATGTCAACACACTCGAAGGGTGATCCGCCCGTGGCTCGTAAGGTTTTCTTTTAAAGCGATATCTCACATGGAACCCAGATAATTTTCTGGACAAAGCTTTCAAAAAACATTCGCACCGTCCTTTATTTCAAATAAATTCTTTGCCCTGTCACATTGGCCGTGCGAGGGTGTTAACGTTGATAGAGCACTCAATGACTCCAGAAGCTCAAAGTCCACCGATGACATTGAACAAGACTGCGCATACCGGTAAAAAGGGAAATCTTCAGGGACGGTCGTCATCGCCTGGGAGGGAGGAGGGGTACGGAGGATTTTGGTTGTGTGGCGATAAAACATGCCTGAGCCACCCCTTAGGTTCTATAATATTCTTATGGACCCACCACACCCCCACATCGGCACTTTTTTCCATTAACAGCCTCCGGCCAGAAGTAATTTCGTAAAAAGACGCTTCAAACAGCCCATGAGGGCTAAGATATATCACAAATACATCGATTAACATTCCATTAACTTAACTGAGATCTTCAAACCGAGATGTAATTTAGATAGGTAATTTTGAGAGCTTTATTCATTACCCTCATAGATTTTGTTTGTCTCATGTCGACAATTATTAACCACGAACACATAGTGTGGTCTGCCTGTGTTCGGACGCTCTACTAATGAGCTATGGGAGATTCGTGGCAGCTTATAGTAGACATCAATGAATAAGGTTTCTGACTTGATTTTCTCTGAAAAGGAGGGAACAAGCAGCAAACACAAGCATAAATTCCGAATTAAAAATAGCATAACTTTTTTTGTTGTTCGTAAGGCCAAAGTTAGTCGTAAAATTCATCGAGAGCCAAACTTAACTCTTAAACTCTCAAGATCAAATGAGAAATTCTCCCTTATAGCCACTTAATTCAGTTGAGAGAACTTGGCGTTTATCAATAGAACACTATGTCTAAAAAGCTTGGTCTTTTTCTGTATCTGTTTGTTGGACATTATAAATGCATTGATATTATAATGCATAGGAAATTACAAGTTAATTTTCAAGAGTCGAAGCAAATATATTGGATCAATATATCGCAGTAAAACTAGATGCTTCTGCTCTTGACCACGAAGTGTGTAAACATAGGCTTGCAATACATGCAAGCATTTTGTTTTGATGGTTGGTTAATTAACATAAACCACTAAGTAACTGACGTTCACATTTTTGTACAAGAAAAAAATGATTACTATTCAAAAGATTCTAACAAAAATATCCTTCAATAGAGAGCAAATTAAAAAAACTTTCAATTTATCCGAAGTAAACTCAGGCACAGGTTTTTTCGGTCTATAATAATAAGCTGCACTGATGCAACACTCATTGTGGTCACCTTCGCAGCCGTTGTTTGGTCGAGACCTCATCATTGGCATTTGGTCACGAGTCCTTCTTTGCCCGCGCAAACGTATGAGGCCTTCAGGACCACGAGCCAGCGAGAGGTCTGTCCAATGTCTGGTACTGATAATTAGTGCCAGATTTAAAGAATTAAACTGAGGATAAAACTAAACCACAGCATACCTATACTAAACCACAGCATACCTATACTAAACCACAGCATACCTGTACTAAACCCTCATTTTATTTTTATCAATATTACTATTTTTCCTGGTGATCACTCAATAGATTCAATCCACTCACAGACAAAGATAGCACCTTTACATTTTACCATTACTCTTAGGCTAAGGCACTTGTAGAAAGCAACATTTCACAAAACAACAACATTATGTATGCAAGGTTTAAATTTTTCAGACCTTTACTGCTTGTTTTTATGAGTGGTTCCAGGATTTTCTTGTGCGAAGAGTTCTGGTTGAATGTACTAGTCGCCATGTTTTTCGGTATGGCAGTTTACAGTAAATATTGTATGAAGTAGCCTTCACCAATATTAATTTTGTGAACTTGTCACTGACAAAGAGCTAGTTCATGGTTAGACATTGATCGTTTCATTGATTGCCGTGCTCTACATTTATCATTAAAGTACTAATTAACTCCTCTGCCATCAGTAATTGCATTAAAGATATTGTGTTAGAAATCACACACCGTACCCCAAAATCTAATGTCATCCTCAACACAATTTCATTTCTTGAGCAAGGAAAAAGTAAAAATTAAACAAGATGACACAGACATCATCACAGAGACAACATTGCTATGTATAATGTTTATATAGTTAGTTATGTAAAAGGTACTCTATTCATTAATTCAGTGTCAATGCTCTCCCTCGTAGCAGCTATAATTTTTAGCCAACTTGGGAAATAGTGACCTAAAATGGACCCTTTTGGACATCCAAACTTTTAAATTTCCAGGGAAAGGTTCCCCAGACTTTGCCATCCAAGTGGGAATAAATGGCTGCCACACTTTCATTTTGGTCCCTCCCAGCTGCTCAAACATTGTCCCTCCTTTCCACAATTTTACCAAAGCCCCCATATGTGTAGTAATAAAAACATTGAAGTGAAGTGTGCTATCTAAGCAAGAGATGATAACCATGCACACTTTTAAGTGAGTCATCCTGGCAGATGTTTGGTGAGTTATTGCATTCTATGCTCAAAATCTGTTTCACATAGACCTTGGAAAAAAGAATGGGGTGTAGCAGTCATTCAGGTCAGTTAATTGCTCCAAGCTCTAATTTGATACCACTGCTCATTTGGTTATCTTTCTTGCCAATACTCTTTTATTATTTGGGTTTTCTTGAAAACTCTTCCCATTAAGAAGAAGCATGATATGTGTTTACAAATTAAAAGCAAAGAAAAGTAAAAAAAAAAAATAATAGGAGAGTAACAGGATGGTATCAAAGACAGTGGTACAATTTTTTTGCAGGGGGGGGGGTAATTTTTTATTTTTGAATCAGAGTTTTAGCCTAAGTATGTCTAAGTTTCTAAACTTATTGTTTAGTCTTGTGATTTCTTGCTTTAAGTAGTAAGGTAAAATTGTTTGAATTTGTTGTTTTATTGCAGCCTCTTGAGTCTGTAAATGGAAAGAAAACACTGGAAAATTGATGATAAGGAACACATTGCTTGTACTATAAAGTACTGAAAGTAATTTGCAACTCTCCATATTTGCTATTTATAATTGACATGCTTTGCACAGATGTTGTGTGATTAGTGGAGAAGTTAACTGTCTTTCAAAAATTAAATCAATTTAAATTGCAGTGAAAGCTATTACTTCTCTAATTATAAAAGTATCAAAGGTAACCACTCTGAGAATCTTCCCCAGTGTCTGTGATATAGAAGTGTCCACTAAATATAGGTTAATTTATTAGGAAATGTGGGAAGAATAGTATGCAACTGAAAATACAAGTAAGTACAGAAAAATAATATTTATTCCTTGCTAGTAATCTCAGAACAGCTTTGTGGGGCTGGAAATTAACAGTGCTGGAATACAACAGTAAATCCTGCTAAGAAACTGAGAACAGCTGTGTGGGGCTGGAAATTAACAGTGCTGGAATACAACAGTTAACTCTTGCTCTAGACAACCAATCAGAATATCACTACACTTTTGTTGACTGACGCTTTGTAAATAAGACTGTGCAGCCAATTGGCTCATGCTGCAGCATCCCATACCCAATAAATTCAATAGAAGACCCTTCAGTCGTTTCACGCCTTACGAGATCCTGACACTTCCTTCAAAGAAAGGTTGCTTTAAGTCTATTTTTATTGTAAACTGCATTCATGAAGCTTCTTCTGATATATAGTTTGCTAGGATTTTAGTGAAAATAGCGTGCAAACGAATATTTTCCCGAAGGACACCCATGAAGGGAAGTAACCTTGAGCTTGCCGAAAACCACATCAAAAACCCTGTGCATTCACTATTATTTCTTACAAGATTTTTGAGAAGTGATTTGCTGTCAACTGAATCAGACAATATTCCATCACTGTAATCACTTTTAAGATCTAAACTTACTTTAGTTCTACAAACATCAACAGTTTTTGGCAAATCATCTAATGGTAAATACTTGTTCAAAGATGAATTTTCGTACAATCTTTTGCCATACTGAATAACATCAGATAAGGCGTTTGAATTCCAATAACTACATGATTTTATTACAGGCATGACTCTGAAAAAGGGTACTATTTTGAACTTTATTAATGTTAACCCCTTTCAATTCAAATATATCATCATTATGTATACTCTGAAAATAATGTACTAAGCTATTCAGGGATGATACGTCAAGCAGCACATATGTACCTTGAGGATGGCTTCTCTCCCTTGCATGAGAATCAAATATATTCAAGCCCACATTACCTTTACAATAGATAGCAACTGCAGTACATCCTATTGTCAAGACAAAATTGTTGAAATTTTTGGATATAAGTGATTGAAAGGCTCTATCTAAGGAGGTACCGAACTGACATCCTTCTACTGTAGATTCTTGATGAATAGTACCAGTGTAGCTCTCACTGTATTGAAGTTCATAGTCAGTCTCAAACATTTTTTAAAGTGTGGGTAATTCTGTCTGCATTAAAAATGATTGTCTGGTTAACTGAGACAAACTTGAATACAACTGATTTCTGATATTCATTATTGACACGAGATCATTAGCAGAATTGATTCCTTGTTTGTTATTGTAAATCAAAGAGCATAAACTCATTGTAACACATAGTTGTCCTGAATTCTGTCCAAATACCAATTCATTAGCTTGGCTATGTGGTGCCAATATAGTTTTGCTAGAATCAATGTACATTGGAATAGGACAGAGGTTTTTCTCTATGTCTGAACTCAGTTGAAATTTACAATAGTTTGATGCGTGTGTCTGACTCTTATAAAGACAAATGGGTCTATTACAAGAAAACATTGATAAGTACCTACTTGCTCTATACTTCAGTTTAATTATCCTTTGATATACCCTTACAGAACAATTCAACAAATACTTCTTATCACTTCTTGTAACTTTATTTAATCTTACCCTCTTTGTATTAAGCTTACAATCATTCTTTGTAACTCTTCTAACCTTCACATAACGACGTAGCCAAGAGGACTTCGGTATGCTTGGACGAATACGCTCATAAACAAATTCCTTCAGTTTTCTGCCCTTTCTTCTGAGACGTTTCAGAGTAGCTTCTGGTATTCTACTGGGTTCTCGATCACGTCTAAATACACGGTTGCTACATGTAAACATAATATGAGATAACTCGTTTGATATAGCAGCTTTCGCTTGATATTTCTCAATAAAAGGTTCACTCGTAAAGGATTGATCGTGAAATTGATCTCTCGTAAATTTTGCGGACCGACCCGTTCCCAAAACGCTCCACAAGTTTTCGTGTGGGTCTACCGCGAACGGTGTGTGACTTTGTATTTGTATTGGGCGTAATAGCCATCGAATTTCTTTCACGTACATCAAGCAAGGAATTGTCCACGAAGGCAGCCATTGCTTTAAACCATGCTCTCTAAGTTTCATTCTACGCATGCGCGTACACTTCACGCATGCGCTGTAGAGGAACCGCGTTTTGTGACTGAACGCCAAAAAAAAAAAAAAACGAAGCCGAATTTGAACCTTGGGCGTTACCTTTGGAAAGTTCGAGTAAAAAGAACAGCTAAAATCAGCGAAACCGCAATAAAATCACATCACAATCAACTACTTGAGGGCTCAGGCGATACAGCAAAAACCTATAATATTCAAAATAAACAACCTAAGGCCAAACTTCTGTGACTGAAGGAAGAGTTCGTGACGCAGACAAATTATCACAAATTTGACCTCTCAGTCGATCTCACCTCCGGCAGATCAGCGAAGCGTCAAAAATATATTATTTCATGCCGACGAACAATAATCTACGATCTTCAACCATTAAAGAAAATAAAACAATTGTGATATGACGCCACACTGTGCTTTTGTCTTAGCTTGTGTGTAAAATGTTGTCAATGGAGTCACAAGTCGAACGATGAAGACATTAAATAAAGCAAGACTGCCAATAAAGCGTGAACAATAACGCATCCTTTGGTCGAAAGTCGCTTTTTTATTTACGTAGCAAGTTGTTCTTCCACGATTAGGCTCTAACAACGATGCGATCACACCCATTTCTTTCTTCAAAGAAAATAATGTGAGAGGTCAATGGCCCGGTTCGCAATGATTATGCCAACAACATGTTTTCCTGAGATCAGTTACCGGAAAATACTGATCAAATTTTCCACTTATCCCGACCCCCTTGAAAGAATACTTTTGCTTGAAGACATAACTACAACGGACTCTCTTAACCTTTTCCAAACCGCGTGTCGCTCATTAGATCACAGGATATGATTGGCCACTGTATCACATTACGTCAGAGGACATATCTACAATGAGAGGACATAAGTGCAACGGTACATGCATACTCAATCTCAGACCTCTCAGGGGTGGGCTGAGATTCACCATGCGCCTATAACCTTGAAATAGATACATGCTGCTGATTCTAATTCTAAATTTGGCTGATTCACTACACAGAGCAATAAAGCGTTCAGTGCTAGAGTCGAGGTAAGTACGATATTTAATTGTTAATGTACTGAAATGTTAATGTGACTCCTCGTCAATTTTCCAATTCATATTTCAACGCCTCTGTAATCAGAGCTGCTATTACATAGACCATTATTATATTGAACAATATTTTTACACAACATGAACTGCTGTAGAAGGATATCGTTCTTAATAAATTCCCTCTTTTTTTTTCAAAATTTTCGTGGCATCCCTTGGCTAAAAAATCTCGAACGCATGAACATCGGTACTTCTGACATGTTGAGTCAAATTCGTTTCATTCATACCGATCCAGAAGTTGGATAACAATCAATCCGTTTGCGTGAATTTAATCAAATAGACATGCCTAATCTGTGCCTGAAAAATGTTAACACGATATACACATTGCGTTTTATGCGCGGGGTCAGTTATCTTCGGCAAAACAAGTTTTCAGATTCAGAAAGATGGTAACCGTTGTTATTGTTCCCAATGTAAAATATTGAGTAAAATAAGGCCATTCGAAGTTTTTTATCATGAAAATGTTCATCGCATGAGCAGAAATTTCTCTCGAGATGAAATCTCCGTTTGGCCCGGCTCGTCTAATGTAGCTCAACATTTCTGAGCGTCGGTTGTGACGCAGAGTATATAAAAATCGCACAGTATTGCTGAATTTCAAATAAATTCAAGGCGGAGAAATCTAGTTTGTGTGATAATTTAACCTTGTGCGCTTAATTTATGGCGAAGATGATGAGCGATTGATTTCAGGTTCCTAAGCGGCTCTTTTTTATCTACAAATCGAATTTGGTAACCGTTTTTCCTTCTTCGGTTCATCAATTTTTTTGTGCCTATTTTACAGAAATTTTACAGAAATTTTTACGACTTTCTTACAATAGCTACTTGCATTTATCTTTGTTTTGCAGAGTAACTGTTATTTCAGTTTCTTACTTTTGGTTTCATCAGTCATACGACTAGAATATCAAACAAGACAAGCTTCTTGTGTAAAAGGTTAGTAGTAAAATAATAAATTTAGAAACAATCTTTTCCGCTTTGCAAAACGGAAATGTTTTGCATTGGACATTCAAAGCCAGAGGACTTAAACCTCGAAATATCCCTATATTTTGGAAAAGATTTATTTCTAAAAACCTGACTTAAACTGATCATAGTCTGCAAAATAAAATGATGAACTCAACTTCAGGCCTTTAACTTCCATCATATTTTTAAGTCTCCTTTGTAAATGTTACAAATATCACAGTAAATATTTTTAGAGAGTGAACTGTTGCGCCAACTTGACACCATCGAGCTGATAAGTTTCTTAATTCTCCAAAACTGTTTGCTGAAAAATATATTGATACTGTAGGCAGAAATTGCAGGTTAAACAATTCTTGAGTGTCAGAGTCTGGGAGCGAATGAGTAAAAGCAGATACGCGAAGTATGAACAGGAAATTCAGACCTTTAAATCTGAAATCTTTTAAAAAAATAATAAAGAAGATGCTAGATTTTTTATTTAAATTTCGCGGAGGTTGGAAAGCCACGTACTTTTGTTTAATGTTTTCAAACCAATTTTTTTGTTGGAGCGATAAAGCTGTTACTTTTTTTGTTACTTTTTCTCCTGTCAGATTGTCATTCATCTCTGTTTTTGCAGGGAAATCGTTAATAAATTCCCTCATTTTTCAAAATTTTCATCGTATCCCTTGGATAAAAAATCTCTGACGTATTAACATCGGTACTTCCGCCGTGCTGAGTCAAATTCGTTTCGTTCATACCTATCCAGAATTTGGATAACAATCAAACCGCGTCTGTGTGAATTTAATCAAATGGACACGCCCAATCTGTGCCCTAAAACGTAGTGAGAAGTTTACAAATGTTAACACGATGTACACATTGCGTTTCACGCGCGGGGTCAGTTATCTTCGGCAAAACAGATTTTCAGATTTAGAAAGATGGTAACCGTTGTGAGTGTTCCCCATTTAACGGCATGTCTAATGTTATTTCCTTGGCCTTCCTAAGTAGCTCGACGTCTTTCAATGTCAGTTGTAACGCAGAGTATGATACAAAATTGCGCAGTATTGCTAAATTTCAAATTAATTGAAGGCGGGGAAATCTAATCTGTTTGATAATTTAGCATTGTGCGCTTAATTTATGAAGACGATGATGAGCGATTGATTTTCCGGTTCCCAAACGGCTTCTTTTTTTGTTCTTTACAAATCGAGTTCAGTCTTTATTATTGGTAACCGTTTTTCCCTCTTCAGTTCATCAATATTTTGTACCTATTTTACTTCTATTTTACAGAAGTGTTTACGTCTTTCTTACAATAACTATTTGCATTCATCTTTGTTTTGCAGATAAACTCTTATTTCAGTTTCTTACTTTTGGTTTCATCGGTCATACGACTAGAATATCAAACAAGACAAGCTTCTTGTATAAAAGGTTAGTAGTAAAATAATAAATTTAGAAACAATCTTTTCCGCTTTACAAAACTGAAATGTTTTGCGGTGGATTTCGAAGCCAGAAGACTTAAACCTCGAAATAATCTTTAATTTTGGCAAAGATTTGTTTTTTCTAAAAACTTGACGTAAACTTTTCATAGTCTGCAAAATAAAATGATGAACTCAACTTCAGGCCTTTAACTTCCATCATCTTACTAAGTCTCCTTTGCAAATGTCACAAATATCACAGTAAATATTTTTAGAGAATGAAGTGTTGCGTCAACTTGAGACCGTCCAGCTGATAAATTTCTTAATTCTCCAAAACTGTTGGCTGAAGAATATATTGATACTGTAGGGAGAAATTGCAGGTTAAACAATTCTTAGGTGTTGAGTCCGGGAGTGAAAGAGTAAAGGCAGACAAAAGATGCAGGAACGGGAAAATCAGATTGTTTAATCTGAAATCTTTTACAAAAATAACATAAAAATGCCGTGTTTTTTATTCAAATTATGGAGAAGTTGGAAAGCCACGTAGTTCGGTTTTAGGTTTTCTAAACAATTTTTTGTTTAAGCGATAAAGCTGTTACTTTTTCTTCATCCATGTCAGATTGTCATTTATCTCTATTTTGCGGGGAAATCGTCAATAAATTCCCTTTTTTTTTCAAAATATTTTTTCGGATTCCCTGAAAAAAAAATATCTGACACATTAACATCAGTACTTCTGCCGTGTTGGATCTAACTCGTTTCATTCATACCCATCCAGAAGTTGGATAACAATCAAAACGCTTGTGTGAATTTCATCAAATAGACATGCCCAATCTGTGTCCAAAAACGTCATGAGATGCATCAACATGCTGTGCACCCAAAAGCGTCATGAGGAGTTTACAAATGTTAACACGATGTACACACTGCGTTTTACGCGCCAGTCAGTTTTCTTCGGCAAAACAAGTTTTCAGATTTAGAAAGATGGTAACCGTTGCTAGTGTTCCCAATGTAAAAAATGGGTAAAATAAGGCCATTCGAAATTGAATTTTTTTTTTCATGAAAATGTTCATTGCATGAGAAGAGAATCTTCTAGTCATAAAATCTCCGTTTCGCCCGGCTCGTCTAATGTTGTTACCTCGGCCTTCTTATGAAGCTTAACGTTTTTCAGTGTCAGTTGTAACGCAGAGTATATACAAATCGCACAGCATTGCTAAACTTCAAATTAATTCAAGCCGAGGAAATCTAGTCTGTTTGATGATTTAACCTTGTGCGCTTAATTTATGGAAAAGATGATGAGCGATTGATTTTCAGGTTCCAAAACGGCTTTTTTTTGGGTTCTATACAAATAAAACTCAATCTTTACACTTGGCTACCGTTTTTTCCCTCTTCGGTTCATCGATTTTTTTTTCATTTATTTTACTTCTATTTTACAGAAGTGTTTACGTCTTTCTTACAATAGCTATTTGCATTTATCTTTGTTTTGCAGAGAAACTGTTATTTCAGTTTCTTACGCTTGGTTTCATCAGTCATACGACTAGAATATCAAGCAAGACAAGCTTCTTGTGT